CAGGGGAGGTTTAGATTGGACGTGAGGAAAAATTTCTTCACCGAGAGGGTTGTCAAGCATTGGAACAGGCTGCCCAGGGAAGTGGTTGAGTCCCCATCCCTGGAGGTATTTAAAAGACGTGTAGACATGGTGCTTAGGGACATGGTTTAGTGGTGGACTTGGCAGGGCTAGGTTAACGGTTGGACTTGATGATCTTAAAGGTCTTTTCCAACCTAAATGATTCTATGATTCTAAGTAATCTTCCTTTGGTTATGACATGGGCTGCCACACAGCAGTAACAAAACAGTCACACTCAGTAAAGTAAGGATCTGATTTTTTGGAAGTCTCTTCCAAACTTAGCTGACCTTGAGCTGTCCTGGCTCTTGCTGTTGTGTGCAGGATGTATGCATTGCACAGAAAACCTCAACCATCCATCAAGAAAACTGCTAACAGTTAACATAAGCCAAAAAGCATGATCCAAATTAATAACTCGTCTGGATATTAAATCTACATCCTTTCCACCACCAGCACTTTCAACTAGACAAATTGCTGGCTGCGCTAATGGGAACCAATCAGAGGAGAGTTTACATTTGGTATTCCCAATTTCCTACTCATGTGCTGACAGTGTTGAACATTTCCTAAACAATAGGGCATGGTTTTCCGAGCAGTAGAGGAGTAGTGTTTTCCTTAAACATCAACACTGGTCAGAGCTCTTTGTGATATTCAAAGAGTGGAAGACTAGAATATGCCTATAAATGCTGTCCCTGGAGGGGAGGAAACAGTCATTAGATGTCAGGAAACTGGGCCAATTCTTGGGAAGAGGTGATGCAGAAAAACTTGTAATTCTGCTGCAAGGACCACAAGTGGTGTAAGTTCTAGTAAATGAGTAGCAGAGTACTTTGTGGAGTTCTGAATTTTGACTGAATGCTGCTGGGCTTCCAAGGTTTAGATGATTCAAAACACAGAAATCCAGTCTGTTTGTGCCAGCCTTTCAAAGGAAGACCTTCTAATCTGGGCAAAAATCTTGGCCTGTTTATGTTTCATTTCTCACTTTGCACCTAAAACCATAAGATGAACCTGGCCTGTAACAGAATCCTTTTAAAAAACTATCATATTTTAATCACACACACACAGTTAGGCTGGCAACTGACATCAGAGCCTCTACATTGGTGCACATCCTCAGCTGGTCAGCTGCCTGTAGTAAGGGAGAAAGCTTATTTTGTAGGACCTGTAGATTCAAAAACGGGTAACAGCTCTATAAACAACTACTACAGGGAGCAGGCACAGAGGTACCCCCTAATATCTCTAATACAACAATTCTGGATGCTGGTGGATTATACGGGGAAAGTGGCCAGGTGCATGCGCTCTCTCCAGACAGTATCTCTTACTCACAGTGTCAGCAACAGGAACCTGGAACGGAAAAGCCACTCACTGCTCTGACACAGTGAGGCATTTCTTATCTTCTTAGGCAGTATCTGAAATCAATAGCTTTCAGCTAGCACAATATGCTTTTACAGCTGAAGAACTGGCTTATCTATATCTAGCTGGAGCGTGTCTCTGAGGTTTGGCACCACACTGCGTAAGCAGGGAGGGATAAGCTGCAGCCCAGCAGTAGCCTTGGAAGAGGTATGTGAGTCACGATGTCTGAGTCATGCTCTTCCCCTGCATCTTTCTTATAGAGAATCACAGCTAACAGGGCAGGAGAGGAGCCATCGAGCCTCTGTGTTCATCTAAGGGTGGAACTGACTCTACCTAAATTATTCTTGATGCATGTTTATCTATTAAACACATCCAGCAATGGAAACTGCACACACTCTGTAAGCAACCTATGCTATTCCACGCTTCACCACTCTTATTGTTAGAAAGTATTTCCTAATGTCTAAGTTAAACCTCCCCTGGTGCATTTTAAGCTCATACAGGGCATAAAGACTAGTCTTGTCCTCTGCAGCAAATTAAGTTGTCTTCTCTAGACTAAACAACTCCACTCCTATCAGTATTTCCTGGCTGACTGGAGGTCTAGAAGACCTGACCTTTTTTGCTGCTCTCTTCTGGACACTCTCCAACTTCAACTGCTATTCTTTAGTACTGACCTTTGCCAGTAATAAATCACCATACTGTTTATATGCCATTCCATGAACTGGCAGTGGACATAAAAGTTCCTCACTTGCTTTCTCTGCTGAGTGAGCAAGCCAATACGTTGACTTATACACAAACTATAGTCTGAACAGGCCTTATATAAAGTGTGCTGATTATCAAAAAGGTAGCTATCTCCCCCCATTACCTGTCACCCACACCACTTACTGGTGTAAACTGTAGCCTCTATTGCAAAGATGTAAAGAAAGAGAATACCTGCTGCAGCAGGCACACTGGTCTTCACTTGCATTTTCTTGTCCTGAGAGCTCAAGCTGGAAGGCATATTCTTCTTCAGTATGTTCTCACTAGCACAGATCCCTTGCTACAAAAGGAGGAGAGAAGAAAAGAATGCAACTGAGAAACCCACTAGCCATTGGCACTCATAAAGCTCGCCCTGGCAACATCTCTAAACCTAACTGTGGAAATGCAGCAAAAGCCAAACAAGGATGGTTGGGGACATCCTGTGGGAGGGAGGGAGGGAGGGAAAAGGCAAGAAGGAAGACAGCTGCTACAAATACAGGGTTACTTCACATGCAGGCAAGTTATCCTCTCTCTCTTACGGATGGGGAATTGAAGAACTTGCCCAAGCTGCACAACAAACTTGTGCAAGAGTCAGTGGAAAAGCCAAACTTTCAGTACGCAGTCTCCAGAGCGGAGCAGTGAATGCGGTCTGTAGGTCACTAACAGTGAGGAAGCTAGTGCAACTCAAAGCAGCTCTTGGGCTACATAAATACATTCTGGGCAACAGGCAAGCTCTGAAAAGGTTCAGGTTTGAGTAGTGCAAAGGAACATATAGGAGGATCCAGCTCTGAAACTAATCACTGTGACAGTATGTGTTCGCTCACTTGCATCAGTTGTCTGTCTCAAGACATTTTAGAGGCCAGTCCTGAAAATCTCTCTTTGAGTAGTGCTCACAGTGCGCCTCCCAAGAAGATGATATTGAAAAGTTTACAAAAGTACCCAGGCAATCTGGTGCAGGATTCACACCCATGCAACATTACTTGGTACTCTACCTCCTCTTGATCCACTTTGGTCAAAGCTTTGTCTTCAACTTTATGTTCTTTGGCAAGAGGGTGGTCCTGGAAACCCTTTTGTTTTAGTTTTGCCATGGAGACCCAAGCTGGTTCAGAGGAAGCAGTTTCCAAATGTGAAGAGACTTTTTCTACAAAAGAACCATTTCTGAAGTAAGAAGGGATTTAGGTCAAGTCAGTCTAAAGCTAGTGTTTTGTGTTTTAAATCCTTCAGCATCTATAATACCCTTTGAACACTGCAGAGATAAAATTACCTTCCCTGATGATTTTGTCCTTGGCAGTAACTGTTTTTCTGTTTATTCTGGAGTTTTTGACCTGACTCTGCTTCCGTTTAAGTCAGTGGCAGAACTCCCACTGAGATCATTGTGAACCGGATTTTGCCTTTGAAACAACATCCTTACATTGTAGATTAAATGAGCATGATAACCATTATTTTTTCACGTAGGCAGTAAAATACAGGCTGCCTTTTCACTTTTTAAATATCTTAAATGAAGTGGTTGTAGGAAAAAAAAAAATAATCACACCTAATGCAACTCCTAGTTAAGGTTTGAGCTGCTGCCGTCTGGAAAATTAACTACAAAACAGCAGCAAGTTTTAAAAAGCTGTGTTAAAACTCCAACTATATGCACAAGTAGGTCATACCAGAAATGTTTCAGAGGCTCTTAAGCTATTATTCTGTTGTTATTCTTGCTGGAACACACCCCTCATTAAGATAAACCAAGAATTCTCTTGACTGGCCAAATCATCAAGCCAATTAAATTATGGTGCTGACAAACTCGAGGCTGAATTTCATCCTCGTCAAGAGGATTTTTAATTTTTGTTTTCCACTCTGCCAAGGTTCTTACATGACCACTGTTTTCTACAGCGCTTGGATAAAAATACAGTATAAATACCTGAAGGTTTATGACCATTCTGCTTCTTTGCCACTTCTTCTGATCTTGTCTTGGGAGGATTTTTGTCTTCTAGGAGATCTGTTTTTTTAACAAATGATTTTGTGCTGACAGGAAGGCCTGGAGGTGGCTTCCCAGTGCCCACTGATTTCTGATCCTCCTTGACTGAAGCAGAAGCAGCAGTGGGAACAGCTGAGGGGATCAGCTTTGGAGACTCAGCACGGCTTTCATTCTGGTATTTTAGTAAAGAAGACGTTCTCCTTAGTCTGACCCCAAACGGGTTTTCAACATTATGTACTTCATGGTCAGCCCACTCCATAGAAGAATTCAAATGCAAATCACTGTCCTTAGAATCTCGATCAAATCTATCTGCATTGGTTTTTGCTGATTCCTGGATGACTGCATCAAAACGTGTGTATTCTTTTGTCATTCCTTCAAACAACTCTGGTCTTATAGGGGATGTTGGGGAACTTCTGGTATAGGAATCTTCCTTTGAATTTGAACCACCTGAGAGAGATCTTTGCCATGCTGGTGCAATAGTAAATCTGACTGGTTTAGCAGAAGCAGTCTTCAGTGGACTTTTTACATTTTCATCTGAAGATCGACTGTCTTCCACTGTTTTTCTGTGAGAAGCTGTACTGCTTATCTGGTACTCCTTACTGTCATCATCAGAAGAGATATTACTCTTCAAGCCAGCCAAACTTGAAGAGGCAAGACATCCAATGGAAAATTTTTCAGAAATGTATGATGTGTTGGCCCATTGACTGCCTTGGTCACCCTTCGAAACAGAAACAGCTTCTGCTTTAATACATACTTCCAATTTACTGGGAGGTAGCATGCAACGTGCTTCCGAGACAGATGCAGCAGTGTCTGGTTTTTTTTCTGCATTGCCTTTGGATGACTGAAATTCCATTATTTCACAAGTTTCTTTGTCATTTCTTGTTACTGAACTGTTTTCAGGCTTCAAAACAGCCACTGTCTTGATGTCAGAAGATGACTCTGAATCGGCTACTGCACCCTGTGACATGCTTGGTGCAGTATCTGAGACAGCATGGTTGGAATGATTCTCAATAGTACCCAAGCAGGCTTCTACTTTGCCAGTAAACAGTGGATCCCCCTTTTCCTGGTCTTTGATGTTTGGGTCCACAGAATTTACTGAGAACCTTTGTGCAACATCTGCCAATATATCTATGCCCTCTGTTTCCACACCATTGCTAAACAAGTCAGCTGCTAGTACGTCTGGAAACACAACAGCTTCTCCTTCAGTTTGTTGCAATTTTGGAAGTGCAGATACTTCAGTATTGGTACTTTGCTGATGTAATTTCAATTCATCAGCAGACTCATCTGAACAGTACGACACTGTTGCACTGTGGTGTTCCTCCAGGTTCACTGGAGAAGGCTCAGGTCTCAGAAGGGGTGCAGCTGCTTTAAAGTGATGGTCCATGTCTGGAAGGCACGCATCCTCTTGCAGCAAAGCACAAGAGTCTTCTGCCACAAGTGTGGAATCACAAGAGTCACGGGCAGCATCAGTGGGACTTTTTATACCTGGTGTCTCCTTAGAACCACTTCCCTTTGCACAGTGTCCCACCTGGGCTGATAATCCTATATTAAACAGAGGAGAAGAGGGTGCACTTAAAGGTTACAATTCAAGCACCATCTGTATCAGTAATTCATTCCAGACAGTGCAGTCATTCAGCATGAGTTCCCCATATCTGGCCACCGTTGTCTGATAAATAAGGCTGTTAAAAGCATATTTAGAAATGGGCTGTCCAAGCGAGGATACTAATAAAGTTTTCAGTTTGAACATACCTAATCCCGGGAATGACTGAAAGTTGTTGTTGTCTGCTTAAGGTGTACCAAATCAGTTGCTGTTTCTCTCTTTTCTGTGCATACCCCTAGTTGTAAGACTACTAGCCAGATTTCCCTAGACATTTCTTCATGTGTATGCCTAGAAAGGCTGTCTAGAATGATCTGGAGAATTTTCTGTATTTAAGCAGAACGTCTCAGCATCAGGTAGCTCTGCCTCCGGCAGCTCCAGCAGGGCTGCTGCACATCTGAATAGCTTAGATGTGTCTGCACACACAGTAACTCTGATGTGTGACAGCATCAGGTCCTGAGTCTGCCCTGACAACAAAGTGCCAACCCAACATTCCCACTACACTATAGCATTACCATCAGCCAGTGCATTTGTAATGCAGTGCTAAAGAGAAAAGTCTTCGGTGCTGTTTTGGACAAATTGCATTTGTTTTCACAATTTACAATTACAATTGTGTTACCACTGGCAATTAGCTATTATTCAAATTATAAGGGGGGAGGTGGCAAAGGAAGATCTAGTAAACACAAGCCAATTAAAGTCACCTTACACACATAACAGATATAATGCTGAGGTTAAGGTTTTTCTGAGTTTCAAGGAACTCAGATCCCCAGTCAATGAGATCAAGCCAACTGTGTAGCACAGGTACTTCTGAACATGGTACTTTCACCTCATGTATTTTTTTAATGCTGCCCTCAAAGTTCACCATATCAGCACCACTGTGTTGAGTGGAGTACATGACTTTTTCCATCATAACGCTTTAGCAGCCAGGATTGATTTTATGATATAAAACCAAAAGATGCCTAGCTTGATAGGACTTACAATTCAAATAGGTCCTGTCAGCCTTACGTAGAAGAGTTCAGGCACCCAAAGTAGCAATACATAAGTCTGCATTACCTTCCCAATCACTTTTATGCTCGTCACTCTCAAGTAATTCTGTTGAATTTCCCTTCTTTTCTGGAGTTGCAGGAAGACATGCTTCATTTTCCAGCTGTTCCACCTAATGAGGTGCAGTAAGATCTTTTAACTGATTAATTTTAACTAATTAAAGAATAATGCACAAAAATTGTATTTTATACACATACACGTTTATGAATACTCAAAACATAGACACAAAACCCCCACCCTGTAATTTAGCAACACTGTGGGTAATGTACTACTCTGATTAAGAACCTAGAAATCATTCATGTTTAAAATGTCAAAGGCAGCCCATTGATCTCTCTTGAATCTGAAACATTCTGGGATTGACATATTCTGAATGAACGAGTATGTTTGTAAGACATCACCCAAGCTACGTGGTGGCATAGAACAGACCAAGCCAGAGACATTATCATCACTTCTGGTATCTCTGATCGACACTCCACAATTAGCTTTTCTCCTTCAGCACTGTAGTTGTACCAGCTGCAGCACAAAGAATATCCAGCAAAGATGCTGTAGGGCCCAAGTTTCCAAGAAAACCTCATTCTGTATTACACTCATCCTGAATTTCTCCCCCACCTCCCTTTCTCAGGGCAGGGCACTTCTAACTCCAGGACAGATTTTCACGCATGATTCTCTGATGGAGAGGGAAACACGCAGTACAGAAGCATTACTCCTTATTTCTGTCACCCAGCTCAACAACCTTTTCTACCTAGTGAACTTCATCTTCACAAAGTGTTTCCTAGAAGCCAGGATGAGAAGCATCTCATCCTAATTTCTCACATGCAGAGCCACATTCTTTCTCGAAGTCCTTCAGTCTTTCCTTTGACATACAAAGAATTAAGTTAAAGCTAATCTGAAATTGTAGAAATAGACTTAGGCTTCTTTAAAACTGAAAACTAGCTTGTCAAACAAGAGGAATGTTTTTACAAATGAAGTGTAACCCACAACTTTTTTGGCTAAACAATGAAAAACTGAAGTTGCATTTTTCTTCAGCTCCCATGATATTGAAGTTTTCTGAGTATTTTTTGTTGGGTTGGTTGGTGGAAAATAGGCGGTCTCCCTTCTTCCAATGGAAGAACAAAAAAGTAAAGGAATGTTGATAGGAAAGAAAAAAAAATGGAAAAAATATTTAAAATAATAATTAAAAATTCACATCTATTTCCTTCTCAAAAAAGTATAAAGGAATGTTGATAGGAAAGAAAAAAATGGAAAAAATATTTAAAATAATAATTAAAAATTCACATCTATTTCCTTCTGCGCAGTGATTCTTTTTCAGAAAACATTTACCTGGGGGGTTTGCTGATTCTTGTTCGTAAAGCCTTTCTGTTTCCGGGGGTTTATGGCAATCCTGTGCCTGGCTGCTGAGGTGTCCAGGCAGCCGAGGGGACTGGCAGGGATGGTGAAGTCAACGGGAAGGAAGCTGCTGCCTCGTGAGCCGGGGGCCCCCAGAGTGGCAGAGGATGAAGGACTGATGGGCCTGGAAGAAGCTCCAGAAGGTATCTGTAAAACACAAACACGACACTATACATTCTGCTTGGCTTCCCCACATCTCTGAAACAATTCTTTTGCTAGCTCATTCCATTTCAGAAGCCTGAAATGGCCGTATTTTCGGACATAAATCCTCACTTTAAAATGCATGCCTAATGTCGTCTCTGCATAGCTATTACTCAATTCTGTGTGTTCAGCTGTGTGTTACACAAAGTGAGAAATACCTCTCTCTCCCACAGCAAGAGCCTCAGCTGTCCCCTTCCCAGTTCTTAGCTGAAAAACCATTTGCAATATATGTATGCACCAGCAGGAGACACTGGTGTAGTTTTTATAGCTGCCTTTTCATCCCAGTACTGTGACACATTGCAGGAATATGTTATTAAAAAGCCATGAAAGTAGCATCAATACTTGCTCCTCATTACCTCTATTTGTAAGAAAGTTACCATAGCCACTTTGCTCTTTTAATATCTGCTCTCCCAGAAAAATCAAATGCTTCTCTCCAACAAGTATCCCAGAATTATCTTCCAGACAGTGATGTGGATCTCACCCTCACAGCAATGCTACTCTGGGGAACTAAACAGCAGTAACCTTAGATTATGCTATCAAAAAAAAAGGGTTTACAGAAACGTTTGTAGAGAAACCCCTAAACATGCAGTTTGACTGGTTTTGTTACTGTTTTGAAATGTAGACCAGACTTTCTGGAACATTTGCAAAATTTCACAGACATGCCAAACAAACTTCATTCAGTATAACATACTTGCTATTTTGGCTTCGGCCATAAAGCTAGGTGAAACACAGCCATTTAACTGTGCTTGGCATTCAGATTTTAATTTTGTTTAAGCTTAGGATATAACACAGCATTTAAAACATGTATGCTGATGAAGTTTTAAAGATAACGAAAGCATCTTTCCATCTGATCTACAAAAATTGTCTAGGCACATTGCTTTGTGTTTAAGGTAGCTAGAATTCATTTCCTTATTCTCCATTGAATTTTTTTAGTTCCTAGATCTGAAATAAACCACAACAGAATTTATTATGACAGATGCAGACTCTCTCGTGAAAAATTTACACACTGTGAAAGAGAGAAAGAAGAACACAGCTAGTAAATAAGCTAACTATTGTTTTAATTCTACAAGATTAATGATAAACTTGTAAGGATCACTAGAACTTACAAAAATAGTAACATTGTTACTCATTTCTACATACAAGTTCTGCCTTTCAATTATAAAATTACAGGTGTGCTTATTTAACATAAAAACACCTGAAGCTAGTATCTGAGCTACTGCTGTACATAAATGGCAAATTCCCTACTCCACTGAGGATTCAGGATATTTTCTTCTCTGAGCACTGACTGACAGTTGGTATCTTCTCTCAAAGACAGTGGAGCAGACACAGGATTTCCACACCAGTGTTGAAGTGTAAGATAAATTTGGTGTTTGTTGGTTATTGCAGTTGCAGGAGCCTGCACAAGGAGAACGCTGCAGCTAGGAGGCCCATTTCCTAAAGTGTTTGTGCCAAAGCACTGTCCTCAGCCCCACACACTGAGACCCTGTTTTGCTTTTAATCAGTCCGGGTTGAAGATGCCAACAAGGAAGTTAGATTTCCATAAAGGCTATCTGGCAAAGGCAGGGTAATGCTGGTTAATGTCTCTGTGAAGTCATTTGCTGCTTGCTTTGAGCGATAGCCTCACTTTTAGCTTTAGATTAGTCAGAAAGTGGGTATTTATAAATGTGGAAGGCACTGAGAAGTTACATGGGTGACACATCAGGGTTTTGCACAGAGGTGACAGCAGCATGAAGCTCTTGAAAAACCCAGTGAAGCAGCACAAGGCAAAGAAATGAAGTAACTATCACCTGCAGCAAGATCAATAAAATAGTAAAATGTAAACCACTACACTGTAACTTCAGATTGCTTAGGATCAAATCCTCTTTTTCCTTTACTAAATATACAACATTGTTAAATGGAATAACTGGTGTAGATTTCTTGGTGCTTTTCATAATTTTCCTCATCTTTGGAATCAGGTTATTCAGTTTAACAACTTGTGTACTGCTAGCTCAAATCCTGGTATTACATAAATAGTTTCAAAAGCTACTGAAAAAAATGATGATTATTTAGGAAAAGGTTTTTTATTTTAGATAAACATATTGGCAAGATTTCTGCTAAGCCAAACTGCCGACTAAGAAAAATATTTGGGTAAAGGAACACACACGGTACTGTAGAGAAGCTAGCCAGATTCCTAGTGAGTTGGGGAAAAAAAGGAAGAGCCTTTAAGTGGGGAATTCTGTGCAATATAGAAGAGAGAAAAAAATTTCTCCCGTCCCTGTCTGTCTTTCTCATAGGAGATGAGGTTGTAAGACTGAAAAAGCTCAAAGACTTCAGAACTGGATAGAAAAGGGCTTCTTGCATTGTAAGGAGAAAACAGTATGCAGGCTTACAAAATGGAGCATTTTAGTCAAAATATAAAACGGGAGATGAGTTAATAAAATGTACATTGAAGTAATGATAAAATATATACAAGAAGTTATTAAAACTAATGACAATCCAAGTTCCCTAGATCACTTGGGCCTCTAGAGTTGTGTGACTACTAGTCTACTATGAGGGCAAGACATTGCTTTATCTTTCTATCCCTAAAGCGAAAGATCTAGGAATGACTGAGCGGGAGAGTGTCTGATCTCAACCATGGACAGGAAAGTTGAGCTGGTGTTGCCCAAAGGTTGCTCTCTCCCTTTGAGAAGGCTGGCCAAAGAGAGAGTGAAAGGGAAAGCTTCCTTAGCAGTGGGGTTGGCACTAACTTTTTGACCCTCAAGATGTTGCCCTGGCTGCTTAAGGCCCTCTTCATCAGGAAGGAATCTTCTAGGTACCCTGTTACCTCCCCTTTACTTGTGGGCTATTCTCAGTTTCACAAAGGGTTAAACTGTGCTCTCTCTGCTGAGCTTCTCAAACAAGGATTCCGTATGGAGGACTGCAAAGCTTGGGCCAAAATGGCCCATAGCTATTCTGGGCCCATAAATATTCCCCTTCTCAGCTAAATGGCAGATTACTTTGCTTATACAATTGCAAGGGCTGTCCCATGAATCAAATCAGCCCTGTTGGAGTGGTGGCTGCCTTTGTCACTGGCATTTGAAGACCCCATGGGCATAACTGTGGTTTGACTGGCCTTTCAGACATTTTATTAACACTGGAGAAAGGCAATATAAGCAAACCTTGCAGCCTGCCTTGAAAGCATGAGATGGGCAGGAACTCAGCTCAGCTTCAAGCAGCAGGGACAGTCAAGGTGAAGGTCCCCTAGGCTCCTCTCCAAAAATACGACCTCTAATTTTTTCCGAGCTGGTCAAGGAACAGACTGTGTTGGTCTGACAGCAGAACCTGCTGCTGCTGACGGTCACTTATCATCCAAAGAAAACTGCAAATGAACACACACCTTTTCCTGTGGAATACCTGGTGTCAGAAGGGGCTCATCCTGCAACTATTTCCCATGATAAGAGAGATTCACAGCATTGCTCACAAGCCACTGCTGATGGGCAGGTGTTATTAAGCTATTACTGCTGTTGGGTATTGGGGCCCTGGGACATGGAAACGGAATTGAAGTGCTTTGCTGTGACCAATTTTCTGTTGTGTAACTTTACAGATTTATACTGTGTCACAGAGTTGACTATGCTGTTCACACAAACCACTTACCAGTACATTGCTGCCTCTCTTTATTTGGTTCTTATTCAAAACTCAGAGAGGTACATTTTCAGTATCATTTGCATCACTCTGGACTGTTCATGAATTGTTTGCTAGGATACATTGTACCCAGAATACATTAAAAAAAAAAAAATTATTGTACTTCCATACAGCAGTATCATTTGCATCACTCTGGACTGTTCATGAATTGTTTGCTAGGATACATTGTACCCAGAATACATTAAAAAAAAAAAATTATTGTACTGGTTCCATACAGACACCACACATGCTGTCTCAGGAAAGTTTATTAGCAGGAAAAGTAGCTATTTACCTGTTCATCTTCACTGTCTGTCCCGCCTAAACTCAAAGAGCTATGACGCTGAACAGGGTTGGAGGACTGTGGGATAAAATAAGGAAGAGGGTAAGTCAAGGGAAGTATCACATTGAATTATCTGGGACTGGATATCCAGTGCTAATTATGAGAAAACACAGAGGAAAGACAAAGGAAGGGTCACTGAGTCCCTGCCACACAGATTAGGTTTCATTTGTTCACTGGGGATCAAACATAAAGTAGGGGAGCTTTATCCTGCTACGAGATATGCCATGAAGGTTGACCACATGAGGTAATACATTTTATAACGTTATTTTGGCTTATTGTTTTAAGATGTTCAAATTTACAAATGCTCACATGCTCACTCAAGTCCAAAATCATGCATCTGCTGTGAGAAGGCAATTCCTAAGAAAGAAGACAACCTAAACCCCCTCTGAGTCCCATCAGGACCTGTTCTCCTCAGACTCAGGACTGTCACTTTCCTGTCAATTCAACTAATATTGCCCTGGGTTTGAGCTACTTAATTCCAAAAACAGTAATTGTTTAAGATTCTCTTGCAGTCCTCATTATTTTTGTTTGCCTCACTAGCTTTAAAACACCCAAAAACTCTTCCCCTTTCACAGGCACAGGAAACTGCTAATCTCTCCAGCTCTTTGAAGCTGGAAGAGATGGGAAGTTTGTGCAGTGTGAGTACCTCAGCTTGTTCTCGGACTGGAAATGGAATAGTCACAGTAACACCACACTCACCCGTGAATAATTCACTTTTTATGCTTTCTGCCATACAGACCTGCCAGGAGAGACTGCCTTGCCCAAAGGCACTAAGAGTTGTCATATCAACTGAATTTCTCTCCTCTTTCCCTAATGATATAGGTCACAACTGCCCCAGCACTGGTCTACATAAAAGCATAGAAAATTGTACTCAGAAAGGGTATTTGTAAGGCTGCTTCCTAGGTATCCCTCACAGTGACAAGTCCACAATCCACCTAGGTAATTTGTTCTAGTTCTGACTGATCTGTACCATCAGATTTTATCACAAGCAAGCAAAAAGGTCTTCCCCTTCTCCAAGCAGATTTTACCTTTTCTGTACAGGTGGTCACTAAAGTGACATAAAGATTATACCTTGCTTGGTGAGTCTGTCAGAACATCATGAAGGGTTGAAATTTCAGGAGGGCTTCTAGGTAAACCATCATCTTCAGAAACAGCACCTGCATCTTCCAGTTTCTTTCCAGTTATAACAAGAGGAGGCGATCCAAGTCTGATGTTCTGCTGCAATTGAAGCTGTGGTTGAAAAGAAATTTAGAATATAGACTTTCAATGGCATTATTTATAGGGGACATTTTGGACACTTTTATCCCAGTTGCTCCCATTATGCATGCAGAATCTCTTAGTTAACATACAGACCTGCCAGGAGAGACTGCCTTGCCCAAAGGCACTAAGAGTTGTCATATCAACTGAATTTCTCTCCTCTTTCCCTAATGATATAGGTCACAACTGCCCCAGCACTGGTCTACATAAAAGCATAGAAAATTGTACTCAGAAAGGGTATTTGTAAGGCTGCTTCCTAGGTATCCCTCACAGTGACAAGTCCACAATCCACCTAGGTAATTTGTTCTAGTTCTGACTGATCTGTACCATCAGATTTTATCACAAGCAAGCAAAAAGGTCTTCCCCTTCTCCAAGCAGATTTTACCTTTTCTGTACAGGTGGTCACTAAAGTGACATAAAGATTATACCTTGCTTGGTGAGTCTGTCAGAACATCATGAAGGGTTGAAATTTGCTTCTAGCTTCTAGGTAAACCATCATCTTCAGAAACAGCACCTGCAGTTTCTTTCCAGTTATAACAAGAGGAGGCGATCCAAGTCTGATGTTCTGCTGCAATTGAAGCTGTGGTTGAAAAGAAATTTAGAATATAGACTTTCAATGGCATTATTTATAGGGGACATTTTGGACACTTTTATCCCAGTTGCTCCCATTATGCATGCAGAATCTCTTAGTTAACAGAAATACTTGAAGAAACAGACCAATTACAGAAAATAGCCATTAATAAAATTTTATTTAGTTACATTCATCAAGGACCCATCATTAAAACTGTCTTTGGTACAAAATTAAAATCAAAATCAGTTTTATTCAGTCAGTTACCAAAGACAGAAATCTCACCATTCCAGAAAATTTACAGCAGTTTAGCTCAGTTAAAATTTAAAACTTTAAAAATGCTAGATTTAAGTATTCTTTAAATAATTACATGTATCCAGATGTCCCAGATAGTCACACAAAGTATTGTCAGTTAGCCGTTCCCAACCCCAGGTTTATGTGGTCAGCTCTCCTTCACAAAGCCCTCCCAAATATTGAGAGCTTGTCACCACCCTCTCCCACACAAGTAGCTGAGTCCCACTTTTTAAACAAAGACAATTTAATTCAATTTCTGGTCCACCCTAATGAATTGCTTGTTAATTTTCCCCAGCATCACATCCTGGTCCTGTCTACAGCAAGAATGACAATGGCAGCCAGGAACAACTTTGTTTGTAAAGGAGTATGGGGATTCTTTTCCAAGATTGCACAAAAGAATGCTCTGGCAGGCCCTGACCCTAGAAAAATAAAACAAAGTCTGCAACCTCACAAGCAGCCAGATGTTCCCTCAAACTAAAAAAGTTCAGATCTCAGGAAACACCATTACTAAAATTCTTGGCTTAAGTCTGTCGGCTATGTCAAAGCTGGAATAGAAACAAGGTCTGAACAGAAACTTTGTCCTTCAACTAAAAACATTTCAACTGAATATTCCCAAGACAAATATGCAGACCTGTTTTTTCTGTTTCTTTGCTTATTAGACCAGATTGGGAAATTCTAGGCCTAATTCTGTGCTCTTCTGCAAGCTATGCATTCATTTATATCTCTGTAAAATAGATCTACATAGCTGCCATTCTTATTCAGCAAGATTCACTTGGAATGTAATTCCTATATATCTAATAGCCACTCAGGGTAGCACAATGTCACTCTTTAATCCACCAGTCCCCCAGTTCAAACAGCTTTCTTGCCCTCTTACCCACAACAATCGAAGAAGCATCACCAGTATGATCTGCAAAAGTAGGACTGATGCCAAACTGCACAAAGATTGCAATGTATGGACAAAACAAGTCATACAACATACCTGTGCACTTCATGGGAAGGAAAATACAGAAAGTCAATTTTGCTTTTCCCTCTTTTCACAACTTCCCAACTTTGATTTATTAAATTTATTACATGCAGACAAAGTGTTGTGGGGGAAACTCTGAATTTACAGTCTGTCTTCTACTGGTAGAAGTTAATTTACATTGCTAAGAAAATAACAGCTTTTATTAGCGCTTGGCTTTTATTCTGACAAGAGTCAAGCTCACAGAAAAAGGATGTCTTTTATGGCTATAAAAATAGTGCTGGCAGTATTACGTTACCATGCAGGATGATGGATGGATGAAGAGAAGGCACAGTAGACTGGAGATAGCATGAAAAGAGCTTTTTTCCCCCAACAAAGTTTTGTCATATGTAAACATGGTTTCTCCTGCTACTCCTACTGTTATACAAAAAATACCCTGAGTTGAAGCTTAGCCTATTTTACAGTCTTATTGAGGAACAAGTCCCTCTGTGCATCTTTTATTACTTAACATATGATGCAATTGTGTTTTGCAACATAAAGCTCACACTGAGCAAAGAACTTCAATGGCCTTTGGCTGCCTTATCAACGGTTTGTTTTCAGTCTTTGGAAAAATCTTAAACTTTTATCTCAGTGCTCTGAGCTGGGCAGTTATTTAAATGCAATTAATATAACCAACAGTCGATAAGGGAGCTGTCAAGGACGGTTCAGTATGTGCCTTGGAAGAAGGAAATGACCTAGAATACAGTATCCTTTGCTGGCAGAAATCGGAAGAATAATGATATAAATAAAGCTGTCACTAAGCATGCCCTGACATATCCATCATCCCACACACTTACACAGCCACTGGTGCTAGCATGTACAGTGAAAACATCATACCCAGAATTGCCAAAAAGAATAACATATAAATAATATATAAAGAATAACAGTGTAAGGGACACACTACAGTATAAATAAATGGACTTAACCCAAAAGCAGTAGCTATGAAGTAAAGAATGGAAATTCCATTGGAAGAGGACATGCTCATTAAGGAAAGTTTCCAAGAGTCCGTGAACTGGATTCATGTCACTTGCACACTATGAGACCTGGGCAAGGCTGAAAGTACCAGGACTGCTCAAAGATGCAGCTTCCAAGAGGCAGAATAGATCCAAAAGTAGTAAATCTGGCTTTGGACACTTTAGTCAGCAAAGTCTTAAGGCACACAGCAGAGGAATCAAGCAACAGAGTTGCTTAGGATACAGCTAATACAAAGCAGCACCATGAATGAGGGGCAAATGTTCTCACCTGCAAAGTTTTCACTCTTCCAGGTATGTTTTCCTGAGACAACATGTCACCTGCCACATTTCCTGGTGCAGACTCAAAAATGAAGACGCTGTCATGGGACAAGGCTTTGTTTCCCATGCTTCCTTTGGGCCTGGGAAGGAAGCAAGAGTGGTCAATGCACTGGGTACAGCCCTCCAACACTTCCCTGCACCACTTCACCGGGGCAGAGGGATCATAAAGAGGCCAGGGTGGGATGCATCTCACTTAACTTCAGATTTCTGCATGTTAGCTGCCTAAGGTAGTCACTGCTAGCTCCTTTTATACTCAGAAGGGAGGAAGAAACACTTTTTAGGATGCTGATCGAATGCAGGTATCTCTTTTCAGATGTCCTCAGCATCTGCATTGAACACACAGGCCAGTCTCTGTGGACTAGAGAGGGAGTCCAGGGTGATTAGGTCAGATGCTGAGGTTTAGTTGGATGCATGCCACCCTGAGAGATGTTTACAGCGCAGAGGGGGGCGACAGGAGTCCCCTGCCCTCATTTGGTGGGAATGTACCCAGCATGAGACATTCAGGATACAACCTTTGCAGCCTGGTGTGTCATACCTGCCACAGATTGTGGATTATTTTTCCCCTTCTTGCAAATGCAGGCAGAAAATGTAATTCCACTGCATTAGCAAACTTGATTCAAATCCTTTAAGGTCCAGCAATAAAAACAATTCTGTTCACCTGTATCATGAACATCACCAGATCCCAAGCCTATTAAAAAATGTAGATGGGACAAGTGTCCATGGCCACAGTTAAAGTACCCAGGTAAGATATTCCTGCTCTGCTTCTGGGTGCTCACTGGGTGTTCAGCTGTTAACTGAGTCGTAATCAGCTGAGATGGATTGGGGTTGGGCTATTAGGTTGTGCAGGAAAAATTTTGCACTTGGGTGGCACGACAAGGAAGGCTCCAAATCTTTTATCCACCAAGTTCCACCAGCATAGGCAGGCGCTGTCTGTACATTACTTTGTCCAAAAGACCACAAGGATGGCCTCTACCAGGATTTCATTCTAGCACTTAACTGGAAAACAACAGAGAATACTCTCATGTTGTTGGCTGCTAGCCTCATAACCCACAAGTTACAAGGATTCCTTGGCTCAGCTGCCATGCAGGCAATGCTCATTGCCTCTGAAAGTCTGACTCTGGCTAACAGGGGATGATTAGGAACAGAACTCTGACAAGGAAAATCCAGTAAGTCTAACACTCTTCTGCAAGGAAATCAAATAGAAGAGGTCTCTGCTATTTGCCTAACCCCAGATTCTCTCTTTATTTAGAAGAAAGCCCTGAAAGGCTGTGAACTTTCCTAAAGTAAATACACAATGTAAAAAAACCCATACAAATGACTCTTTTTCCTCCTGCACCTCCCTTCTTTACATCTCCGAAGACAACATCTCCTTTGTCTGCTTGACTAACCCTCCTGTTGCCCCAAAGGTGTAGTCAATCAGTATACAGTTATGCCGCATCTCACAGTAGGGCAAAATAATTTTGCTCTATGTTTATGTTGTGTCAAACACAATCTGAGCTCGTTCTCCCACAGCACAGGTCAGAGTTCGTGCTTCCTCCCATTATATGTAATAGTTAATGTCTGCATTAGTTTATAGGACAGCAGTTCTACACGCAAGTAAGGCACATGCCTTATTTCATCATTAGAGTGAATGAAGCTATCCCATCTTTTCGTGTGTTTCATTTTAGAGCCCTTTTCAGTATGAAAGACACTCTATATGGGCAAGACAATTTTACTGCATTCAGAAAGACAGTGTCAAGCAACTTTTATTTGCTGTAATGTATATTCATTATTAGTTGGCATATTTTATTTACTGCAAAGAATGCATGTGCATTAGGAGGTATTAACCTTTTTAATTGGGGATTTCCTCATTTCCTTTACTTGGAATTCTTTAGCAATAAGAGCTGAGGTTTCCTTGTTCTTGAGACTGCCAGTACAAGATCTGTTTCTTTCTTTCTCTCTCTGCATATGTATCATAGGTGTTTGCAAAAGAATTACTGTATTTTCTTCTGGCAGTCACAAAAAGAGCATTGGATTAAATATAGAATTAACTGCAGCTTTAGTACAGATGAGTCTCTTATGTGCAAATATACATTCACGTGTAATTCCAGGCAGTGTGTTTATATCTGCACTGAAGCTAAAGATGCACTGTTAGCTAAATCCCCAGATGTTTTAGCCACTGTATCTCCACACTGATTTCCCTATACAAATGCTCAATTCATTCATGTGTAGCAACACTTGAGCTGCCATGACTGAGGAAATGATGGGACTCTACAGCCAGCTATAAAGCGGCTCCTAAACTCATCATGGCCTGTGCTATCTTCCACTTCTTATTGCTGCAACCCCACTCCTTTTATTAGTGTTTGAGGTAGGGGGAAGAAAGGTCACATAATTCCTTCAGGTAGCTGCTCTCTCAAAAACAACTGCAGCCTGCCAAAGGAGTGAGTATTCATTACAAAGACCAGGACAATTTTACATATTGTCCCAGCAATTTTTTCTGCTCAAAGTTTTTTTAACTGGAATAAGACTGTTTGGGACCCAATTTTCCTCTATGTAAGGTCTTTTACCCTTTTGATGATACAGACAAGAAGTCGTCCATGGCACATGCTTTAATTTTGCCATCATGGTTTTTCCATTTCCATTCAAAACTCATGCCTCTCGGACGATAAAGAGGCAGTGGCACATTATGCTCCCTTCCCCTTCACAGACGCCCAATCCCATTGATTCCCTATAGCCCCCTGACATCTGGGCACATCCCTTTGGCTGTTACAAGAAGCATTTGGCATATCTGAGGTTTTGGTCTCTGGTTAGTATTCAGAAAAGTTAGATTTTAAAAAGATTACATGGTTTAAAAAAATAAAGAAGGAAAAAAAGAAAACCAGTGCTTCTGCCTCAAGAACAAACAAACAGCAGCATTGTTCTAGGATCGGTTTTGATATTCTGCATGCCAGAAATTGCAAAGCTCAGGGCCCTGTTATAAACCCTTCACAAGCTGTATTTCCACTGGCTTTCAGGATCAGGTTTTCCAAAGGATTATGTTGTTCAGTCTCTCTACGTACTTACAAAGCGTGCTTATGCCACGCAGGGTCTGGACATGATAGGGTTTTCAAGTAGCACAAACATATCCTCTAATTTTTTTGGATAGTCCATCTAATCCTATCTCTAAGGGAAAAAACAGAAGGGTTTTACTCACTTCCTGATCTCTGATCTTGCAAAACAGTTCATAATCACTGGAGGATAGTGCTGAGGTAAACAGCAATTGGACTTGAAGTACTTGGTTAAGGGCAAGAGAAAGAGTTCACACCCACACTGCCTCTGGAGCAGACAGCTGATTTTAAGCCAGATCCCTCCTATGGGCTGATGGGGTAAGCTCAGCTGTTCCTAAGCTTTTTGGACTGGGTTAGCTGAGTCACTCTAATTCCCCTTACCCCAGGGGACTGGTTGTGTGGTCACTTACTCTGTTGCTGTTACGCTAACAAACAAAATAAAGAGATTGTTGTTTCATTCCCAGATCATTTCCATGATGCTGTTGCATGAACACAACAGAGTGGGGAAAGGTGGTGCAAGGAGGAACAAGCACCATGAGAAAGTAACATCTATAAGCTCTTCCACCAGAAGAAACGTAGCGTCCAGCTCCACCAAATTATCATTATTTGATGATACAAAGCATTTGGCAGCAATGCTGATTTCAGCATGGCCCACTCTAGTCACCTATTCATGCCCTCTGCCAGTGTCACACCCGTCCAATGTCTCCTCCAACAAAACACTGCAAAACATAGGATGTGACTGGTGTTTTGTCACACTTTGTTAGTCTCCAGCTCCACAACCCCAGGCCTAGGGTCATCCAAAGAGAGGCCTGGCTGAGTAGCTAACAGGGGAGTATGAGGAAGGTGGGGAGTTGGAAAACAATTATACGTTGCCAGATACCGATGCATGACACCCCCGGTGAGAGTCATAGCCATGTTCAGAGGGTTGTCCCACCCCAGATTCAGTCAGACATGAGCAATGGAAGTGTTGTGTAGCTCGATGGTCTGAAGTTATCAGTGAAGCAGTGTTAGCAGTGCAAGCTAATAGGTTGTATTACACTAACTGAAAAAAGGACCAAGTTTTTGAACTAACATCATTCAGGGATTTGAGAATTGCTCTGGACACACCTTAAGGACTTGCAAACCTCACTCACGTGCACAGGCCATCAGGGGTAGCTGACACAAAACTAGAGGCCTTCAGTTGTTATCTATACCTAAATGGCTACGTAAGAAGGTTAAAGCAGCAATCTCATACTGATAATACACCAAAAACACCTCTTTCCCTTTACCCCAGCCATGAGGGAGGGCACCATTTATGCTACAAAATAGCAACTCAACTTCACACATACTCTCTGTATTAGCACTATTCAGCCATCATCCTCTTCTAAAGTTGCCACTGATCAGAGCTTCCAGGACAGATTTCAAACACTAAAACCAATCAAAACAATCTGGGCTATCTGCAGTTTTAGACTGAGAGGTTGGATCACCCCTGCCCCTGGCTGCCCTCCCCCTCCTCTCCAGGCTGGCTTTTGAAGCACTAGCAAAGAAAGAGGAAATTCCTGGAATTCCTTCATCAGCATTAGGGCTTGTTTTGCACAAACTTGGACAGAGGTTGCTCCTAAGGGGCCAACTTACATTTTCATCCTACTGCTGTGAGAGGTCTGCTTTTATTTATTTATTTTCCTTCCCCGCCAGCTTACCCAGCCTCCTTCGGTGAATGAAGCGCAGTAGTGTCGAGCACAGAGATGCTGACATCGCTGCTGGACTGGCTAGGTTTTAAATTACTCTCCCCCCTGGGAGGTGGAGGCTCTTTCCTTTTCTTCTTGGCAAAGAAGTTCTTGAAAGTCTGAAATTTGGATTTTTTCTTTCCTGCAACATGAGAAAAATGAAAATTTATGGAAGCTGGAGGTGTTGCTTAGCTTGGAGAATGTTATCTCTTAAATTCTGGAGGAAGCCTCAAAGCTAGAGCAGCCCATTCAGTTTTAGTCAGCTCCTTTGTAAATAATTCAGTGCTGGAGTCCAGTGAAAGGTGAAGCTGCAGTTCTTACATTTGCTGCCTATAAAGCAACACTGGCATCAAGCTGACAATAGTGGTCCCTACTTAGGTTCCAGTTTATGAAAAATAAACCTTATATAGAGAACGTATCTACCCTACAACTGAACAGTGATCATGCCAATCATACTTGATACATTTTCAATTAAAAAATTGATGTCAATGTCTAACCCTTATTGTTCTTTACTTAGCTCAGTTTAGTTCTGCTTTCTCTTTCCTCAGTGCTGTAAGGAGACAACACCTGAAGGATATTCAAAATTTAGCAAAAAGATTGAAACTGGCAAAAGAATTTATAAACTCTAAAACCAAAATATCTGTTTCCACATTAAACCACTGCCCCAAAATAAAATCAACAACTCCTCCAAGGACAATGGAGCAAACTTAAATTAAGACACTGCCCTGCAGGATGTGAAACCCCCAAACATAGCAGCCCTGAGAACACAATTAGAAAACTGTTAATCTGATTTCAGATTTTCCATTGTCCAAATGAAAAGAAATACAAAAAGAACAAAATAAGCCATACAAAACATCACTGACTTCTTTCATTTTTAATAACCTAAGATACTTTAACATTCTTATTTATATTTTCTTTTAAGTGCACAAGAGCTGCATTTTGTCACGGACCCTTACATTGAGGGGTCAGTTTGGAGTGGTGTGGGTCAAGCTATTGTACTAAGACCCCTGTGATTGACTTAAATACATACGCAGAGCAATAACATCACTGCATATCTGAGCCAAATTCATTGTTCAATTAATACTTTACCGCAGTTGGCATAATAAATGCCCACAGCTGGAAGACTCCTTCATAAGCAAGGCATTATTTCAACACAATTATTGTCTTTTCCCAGCAATGATTTAGTCGGCGATGCTCTGTCTCAACGTGTGCCCTGTACGTGTAGGGATCTCTGCCAATGGGCCTTATCTGGGCTGAAACTGTGCCACCACACAGCTGCATCAGACAGTAGCCACTTTGAGAAATAAACAATGATACTGAGATCTACTCACCCTGTCTCCTCCCTGCTCTCAAGACCAGTCCCAGCACCATGCATCAGGACATACAAGGATGCTGCTACACTGTCCGGCACGGACTGATGAAACAGCTACCTCTCTGCAGAGCACTAGCAGCCAGGGAAGACCTGCACATTGCTTTTCAAGTGACTTGGGCTGTCACTGAGACCAAATTATCTTTCAAACCATGTAAAGCAAAACTATCAATGGAGTCCCACTCATCTGAATAATAATGGAACGTGGCGCTCCTATGGAGGGTTTATCAGTGGAAGACCTTTTTATCTTCCACTGCTGCTTATCAGGCAGTAAGTGAATGAGATAGTCACAGAAAACATACAGGTTATATTGCCTGCCCCAGACTACAGAGCTGTAGTAAATCCAAAATCCCAAGGCTTTTGGATTTGTTAAGACTCTCACGGGGTTTCTCAATAAGTTTCATGCTGCACCCATAGCAAGAGCTGCTAAGAGAAGACAGGTCACACAGCAACCGTAAGACCATAGCGCCTCTCAAATAAAACAAGCATGTTGAGTGTCCTTTACAGAGTCTTCCGAAAGGCCTCTCTACCATTACTGCCATTCATATCAGCAATTAGACAACATATATGGTATTCTCCCAGGAAACTTGTCAAAGCTGAGTTGGTTTATTTTAGATGAGCAAAACAAAAGATTTAAAATTTTCATGAAAGCAGTGCCCCAAAATTATCAATTCAGCAATGTCTGCTAACACAGTCCAATGACTCAAAGAACAAAATGGCAGACTGCTACGTGGAGAAAGCTCTGCAACTTAAATGCAGTCTAAATGAAAAACAAGGACATCATCATGTACACTGGTCAGCTGACAGTGGTATGGACAGAACGCAAGTTTGATTCTAGCGCAAGTATTACTGATGAGCTTAATTAGATGCTGGTATTTCCAGAGAACCAGGGGAATGTTTAAAAAAAACAAACAAAAACCAAACCACAACACAATAACAACAAAAAAAGAAGTGTCTAGAGAAACAGACATAAGTCCTACCACAAAGGATAACATTGCCAAGGTACTACTCTGAATACTTGTTTAGATCAGAAGTGGTGCTAACTTTAGAATTGAGCCCATGGAAAGGATTTGCAAACACTGCCAATGCATAAACCTCAGATGGCATGGGACAACACTCGGGTATCATTGTGCAACAGAGAGTCCTCTGATGCAGACACATCAGTTACTTCAGTGCCTTCTCTAGCTTCTAATTTATTACTGATGTGTACGGCACACCCCCGCCAGCAATAATTCCTCTTCAGCCACGCTCTGCTCAGCTGCATGCCTTCAGCTGTTTCAGATGAATGAGAAAACAGTAAGTTTCCCTGAAGTTCCAGAAGATGGGCACTTGCCATATTATTATACAAAAAAAAGATAAAATCACTACTAGACACTTAGTGCTGCATGCAGATGAAAACTGTGGGACTGCTCTATGTGAGAGCATTTGTCAATAAAGACACAGTTCAGAAAGACGGTGTTCATATTCATTTCCTGCTGCGAACAGTTGTGCACTGGTTTCGCACACTGTTAAAAGGATGCCACATTTAATTTAAAGGTGCCTACATTTCAGTGCGCTGTGAAGTAGCCCAACATATCACTAAATTGGTAGTGCTCTATGATACTTGAACTAATAATATACAAGAGGATCTTATTACTTAAAATGGAAAAAATTCATTGCATATCAAAAATCCAGTCAAAGCAAGGAGAGAAAATCCAAGCTCAGACAACTATGCTTATTTCCCCTTCACCCACTGATGAATAATGACTCATGATTTTTGAGTTCTTACAGTTACCAATCTTCAATTTTATAGCATTAAAAATAAAAGATTAAATTTAAAGGCTACTGCCCTAAAAAGCAAAAGCATTCCCCAAAATTATTTGCTTATACTAACCATGATTTAGCCCACTATAACAGAAAAGGAGCAGGACTAAGCATTTTGCTCTCTCTGTAAAGTTTGTTTATTCTGTATCTTTTACTGTTTTGTGTACTGCCTATTTCATTGTTTCTCCTATGCACAGAGAGAATTAATGCATGTCTTTCTGCTCTTTGCATGGTTCTTCCTTATAACAAGATAGAAGAGAAAAAGATGCTTTTTCCAGTGCCAAATTGAGACTGTAAAAAGCACAGGGAACATCTGATTTGGGAGCTCAATTATCATATTTAAATTAAAAAGTTAATTTTGGGATCTTCTATGCTCTCTGACTTCCTAGGGTGTGTTCAGGACACATTTTCCACAATCCAAGGACTAGATACTTTCACCAATAAAAACACACAATTAAAAAACCCCACAGACAAGATTCTCAGAAAATACCATGATTCTAGCTTCATAAAAAATACCTGATATTGCCAGAAAGACAATTAAATCATGGAATTCAGTAAGGCTAACATTGGGTGCTGACAGTTTTTGGACAGTGACCTGGTTACTGCCATCCAGAAGGAGCAGCAGGCACCGGAAGCCCTCTACTTCTAGTCAGACAATACGGTAAACCTCAAGAAATTAGTCTAATTGACTAGACTGTGAAGGCTGGGAATTTTAGCCTCCTAGAGACTTTACATCACAAGCCAATTAAAGCTATGAAGAGGAAGAGGTGAGGCAATCCTACATTACATGGGAAGTAAACAAAAGATCCTAAAATGGCTTTATCCAGGTCCAGTCAAGTGTCTCTTGAATACTTCAGCAATAGCGCAGCAGCTTTTAACTTTTTTAAATTTTGGTTCAGTTAGAGACAGAAATATTCCTGGTGATTTTAGAGCCAACGCTTAAGACAGCAAGCCATCTCCTGCCTTTCCTGTCACCCAGGTCACAATTTGATCCATTTTCTGAATCTTCTAGTGAACCCGAGTACAAAATTTGCATGCATGGGTTTCACACAAGCTCACTGGTATGTCATGGATAGCGCTGGACTATGTGATAAACTAGATTATAAATTTAAGAAAGCAGTCACTGCTGAGCATCCATCATTACACTTTCTTCACCCCTATCTATCTGCCGTGCAAAGTTCAACTAACAGTCACTTTGCCATTTGCTTCTCTGTTCTACCAATATTCTGATGGTGGCAAATGTATTTCTAAAGGATAAAGCAAGATGATCTTTGAAACACAAACATTTAAGACGACTGCGAGACATTAGCCAAAGAAAAGAAAAAAAATCAAGTGATATGACAGCCACTTCTCCTGAAATGCCTCAGCCATGATGCTGTTCTTCATATTCACCTATCTCCTCAAGAACAGTCTGAACGCTGGCAAAGGGGATTTCCTTTAAGACAACTCTTTGGCATAAGTAAGATATTGTCCTTTCTTGCCTATTATTCCATTCCCTCATGGCTGTTTGCATCAGCCCATGCCACTAGATTAAAGAATAAGTAACAAATGGTTGTCTGCGGCCAGAAGCAGAGAATGAGGCTGCAGTGGGGGTACAGCTCCCACAGACAGAGGCTGGCTAACAGGCTCAGCTCCCAGTTCTGCAGGATCCATCAAAGCAGGCACAACAATCAGCCCTTCAAGCTCTAATGTCCTGTTTTTGAAAATCCAAGCCAGAATCGGAAAAGAATATCCTCCATCAGGTTACAACCCTCCAGTACTGCACATTAAAAGATCTTTCCCATAATATTGCCAGCTGGCAAAACCACACAGAATTTTTTTTTACGCTACAAAAAGCAAAACAACACTGCAAAACAAGTCACTACAGACCCCCCGACCTGAAGAAAATAAATCTTGACTTTCAAATCAGCTATACATTTGGAGAACAACTGCTTACCTGTGCACTCTTCAACTGTCTCTCCTGTTTCAGGTGACTGTGTGACCTCTGTTGGCCCCGTAGCCATGATATAGTCACTGAAATAGAGATGAAAGCATCAGTTAAATTTTAGTCCACCTTCCCAGCAGAATACGGTCTCACCCAGCATAAAGAAAGAACATGGCTGGATCCTTTCTGAAACTGCATACCCGAATGCTTATCACAAACATGCCTTGCACACTTTTTTGCACTTCGGCCACAGACCTTTTCCTCATTTTTCCGTAACACTTACTTCTCCAGCCAAAACTAACAAACCAGTCTAATTTCTTGCCAGTACCTCTCTCTTTTTAGGAAACCAGGATCAAAGTTTGTATTAATGAAAGATGTCATTAAACTTGCTCAGCAAAGGCTGCAATGCTTCCCAGTCTCAGAATAATGAACCTTCATGATTGCTCTTTGCTAGAGAGTGACAGCTCCATGCTACTCTAAAAAATATCTTAAGTAAGTGTTCTGCTACCGAGGGTTCATGTATTACAGTGTCCTCACAGCAGGCACCAGGCTAATCTGTCAGCATTATTAAAATTAGTTAAGCATCAGCACTGAAGCATCATCCTAGGCTATGCTACATTTGTGGAAACCAATAGATCAAATTTATTTTGGATCCAGTGCAATCAGCTTTTAGCCACAAGCTTTGAAACCTTATCGCAAGCAGTGCTATTGATCAACCAAATTAGCTAATGGCATCATCTTCCTTCCTGATGAAAACAAAAGTTCAGCCTAGTTTTAAGATCATTCAATGTTAACTGGCTCCACTTTGTATTTTCCAAGGCTCCTAAATGGTTGTCTGTCAGAGACAAAGGAATTAAGCAGCAGACCACAAGAGTTACAGTACAAATGTCAAGCAACAATGGAAATGTGACAGTTTAGCAGGGCAGCTCATAAATACTGTCCTTTGTTATGGAAGACATCTAGGTGATACATTTACATAGCTAGCAGTTCCAATATGTTGTGTCAGGACTTAAAGAGTAAGAAATCTTTACAAACAAATGAAAATACCCAGAAACAAATCCTGCTCCCTTTTCTGCATAGACCTCATCTAACAATTTTCCACCTCAAAGTGGTATAACGATACTGCCAAGTTAAGTATCTCAACAGCAAGCAAGATTATGATTCCATACTAATTTGGCCAATCAATAAACTATTCTATTTCTTCTGTATCATCCACACTGATTAGACAATATTGAGAAGCAACAAAAAATAAGACTTTTAAGATTTTTCCTTTTGGATGATCATAACCATTCAACTCTTCTCCCTTTTTTCCCCATGTCTCATCAATTACCCATGGAAATGTCTGCATTTCCTGCATATTTTGATTAAAGTGGTCATCAGCAGACTTTCTCATAGACTCTTTCTCTGTATTAAAAAGAAATTCGGTTCCAATTTTCCCCCTCAACTTTATACACCATGCATATTGATTATGTCAGATTTTTCTTGAGGGAAAGGGAAAAACATTTGAAATAAAACATCAAGAAAGCACTCAACAAATTTACAAGGACAAACTGGCAAGTCCCCAGACTTGAGCTTATTTTCACAGAATATGAGTGGGCCTGACATTTGGCTCATTTAGATCTCTAACTTCTGCTTTACCCACCTTCAATAAAATCAAAGCAAGAGAAAATGCTGCTTTCGGATCCAGCTTTGTTTTCACCGGCTCTACATTTATTTAAATTACTCAATCATCTCAGCTGCTCACTCAGAATCCTTCCAGCCTTTGGAGATATTTTGACTGCTGCGTTTATTACAACTGCAAGCATTTATTTCCAATTGGTATATCTTTTATACAAGTAGAACTATAATTGCAAAGCAGTTCAGCTCCGAGGCAGTCTCTTCACAGTCAAATCAGCTGCTGCATTCATTCGGTTTTATAGCTGAGTTCTCTGGGGCATATGGAAGTCAGGTGTCAATTGCAAGGGTGCATGGGTTGTTTGCAAATGTGCCCCATTTAGGACCTAAAGGTTTGGTTCCTTTGTATACCTCATCACAGTATCACCTTTTTCCAGTGAACTGAACAGTGACTTGAGGTGAGGGAAATCATCACAGATTTTTCCAAGCTTTAAGTTAGCAAGTATTTAAATTACAAGAAAAAAAAAATATTTATAGCAAAGTGTAAGTTCCATCATTAAAAGCTTGATGACATACCTGAAGGAAAGTTAGCAATTAGATGACACTTAGACTTCAAATTCTGGTGGCGGTGAGTTGTACTTTACAGAGAACAGCTAGCAAATGTTCTGAGCAACAAACCCTAGCCCAGGGATCAATGTAATGGAGAAAAAGAGGACAAAACCCCATCAATACAAATACACGTGAGTGCACAGGCATTAACTGATCGAACCTTCAGACATTCACCACTTCCAGGCCTTAATGACAGCTGACAGATGCAGTGTCAGGATGTATCAATACCATGTACATTCAGTTCAATCAGCTGTACTAACCATGTGCACCCTGTAAGCTTTCCCAGAGCATTATGCCATTAGAGACAAAGTTTTAAACAAATACTGTATGTGTATTGATTTTTAGTGATAAAAATATCAGGTTAAATAAATGGCCTTTTGGAGAAGTATTTCTGATATTCTTCAGGCTAGGAGATGCTAGAGGACAGCTGGAAGAAGGAGCTCGCAGAGGGGGAGCAGTCAAGGCAGAGCAGCAACAGACTGATAGCTATGGCCGGCCAAGGTAGTAGAGTTGTCAAGTCCCAGCTACTGTTTGCTTCCCACTAGAAGTGGAACAGCGGGCACATTTCCCCAGTCTACAACTTTCTAATCATGTTCTTAATCCTCTCTCAAACAGCATTTGCAATCCCTGCATATGCACAGGCCTCCTGCTGCAGAGGTACAGTACAAACAAGATGCTGAGTCTCTGCTAGACACCTTAAAAGCCAGACCTGGCCCTGCCCAGTAAGTCCACTGCAGCAATTCCTGTGTAAGGCCATGGAAAAGACTGAAAGCTTGCTGAGAGCAGCACGGACTGACTACACAGTGTTCACCTCTCCTTGCACAGGGTGATGGGCTGGATTGTTACACCTATGAATTAATGAATTACTTGCAAACAGTGAAGTGGCTTCCTATACAGATGCAATCACAACAATAAACCTGACATTACTAGACCCTATTTGCATTGCCAAGGTGTATTTTAAAGCAATAAAACTCCTACAAAGTCGCAGGGCTTGCTTTACTTTCAAAGCAGGCAACGGGACCTAGTTAGCAATCATCACTACCCTCACCTGATTTGATGATTTAGATCTAGGCTCCCTGCTATCCCATACAAAACTTCCATTAATAACCCTACTGTGTTGCATTCACTTGGAGCTCTTCAACTCATTAAAGGAACTAATGAGTCTTAAGAGAAAAAAGAAATCTCCGGGAACAGGAGAAATATCCTTGTCTCCCTTTTACAAACTGGGTAAACTGGACAGATATTTGGAGTGCTCTATGGGAGGGCAGTGATAGGGCAAAAGAAATGAAGTCCCAGGGTGGTGTTCTGAGCACTCCCTTTTACCAGCTGAGTACATTACAGAATATGTACATCATGGGGGGGGGGAATGCTAAAGGAAGAAAAGACAATTCCCTTTCACTGCTTGGTTTGTGTATTTAAGGACTCCTGGGAAGTTAACATTGTACAGGATTCAAAGTTTCCTGCATTTAACAAAGGCTCAAGACAAACAGAAACGCTTTCTGCTCAGCCTCAGAAAAGGGACACAGCCTCCTTGCTGTCTCTCCAGTGGAGCAGAAGACTTAGAGACTGCACAGCAAGCAAGCTCCTACCCCACCTTTAGTGTTTCTTCAGCTTCAGTCCCATGCTTCTGCATAAGCATTACGGAAGGCCTTATGGCAGAGAGATCAAAGGAGATGCTGAACCCTGAACAGTCTCTTTCCTAACAAATAAGTGCTTGAGGAAATAAAGACTCAAGAATATGAGGCACTGCATTCAGTTAGCATCTTCATAGCCTACAGAAGACAGACAATGGCAAGCGGCCAAGAAAAAGAGGTGAAATTTTTGCCTGGAGCTTTTGAAGACCAATTTCCTTCAGGCTACAAAAACTATTTGAAATCAAGCTTATGCTCCAGATTTCAGGACACACACTTTGCACAGCAAGATGGATCAGCATAGAGAAATGCATGCCCCTCATCTGGTCCTCTAGGCCTCCACCCTGCAGCCAGCCTCCCCCAGAACACACTTCAAGCTACTGCAGGACCTCAGAGGAAGCCCCTCTATTTCTCCTGAGCACCGAGTTTCAAAAAAACACAGAATGCAGGATAGTTTAGTATTCAGATTACATTCTGCAGCAAAAGGTGACTGACAGGTTGAATTTTTACTCTGTCTTATTAAAGCACATTAGAGGACTTCGTTCTGACAAAATGTGGTTGATTGCTTTCCTCTCTGGGAACTCTACAAGCAAACTATCAATGAAGTCGTTAATCCAATGACAGTAAATGAAGTAAAGTTTACTCTCTGCAACTCCACGGAACAGGATTTTCACAGTTACTCATAAAGCAACAGCAGAGCCAGCAAGATTTCTATTCAATTTGCACATCCCTTGAGCATATCAAAAACTCAACAAACAAAGCTCCCTTTAGTCTCCATGCAATGAGCCGAGCGAACTGCACTTCAAGGTCCACATTCAGGGAACATGCTGAATAGTGTGGGATCCCACTAACAACTTTGCTGAAACAGGGTATGACCCAACCTGACAGCAGGAACTGGGATCTAACCTTGCACAGCTGATCCCATTGTACTCTTCTAGAGCGTAGTGTTTCTAGGATGAAATTCCCAGGTTTATTTGCCAGCCCCTAGCTGGTATGTCCCTTGCCAGACCATGACTGTTTTAGGTAGGCGTAAGAGAATAGCACAAACAGCACTTTATATTAGGACTCTTGCTACTGCCTCCACTGATAACAGTGAGGGGAGGAGTTTACAAAGCTCTTGTAATTTCCACAGAAGGAGGGAGAGTTTAAGAAAGTTTAAAGTCCTTTTCCAAGGATCACAAATAATACAGCGATAGCAGCCATTAGGAAGTCTGGATAAGTAACT